AATATTTTAAGTGTCGTTAATTGAAGATATTACTAAGTCCACTCGTGGGTCTGGGATTACAACCATGTAGAGTGTCCCATTAATGATAAAGCATTTTCTAACTTTACAAAGGGGTCTGTAATGTAAAGTTTTTGCAAGATTTGCCTGAACTGCAGTGGTATAGAAGTTATAGATATGTGTACAGATCTAAAGCCTGGATCAAACGAGGATGAGAGTGCATTAGAGTTGGCAGTCACTTAAGGGGCAGTGTCACTGTCTGCGCATCTCTTCTGCGCATAGCAAACTTGAAAAACTGCAGCCTTATTTTTTCAAGTTTATGATTTAAGATGGCGGCCATTTGCGAGTGAGCGCATTGCAAGAGAGGCAAAAATTTCGGCACATAGATGTAAATACAAGGCTGATGAAACTCTCAAAATACTGGAATAGACAGCACAAAAGCTGATACTGATTCCTGAATATATTTGAAGCAAAAAGCATGATAAATCGGGACGAAAATGGAGGCTTGATAAAGTTCAAGCATATTTTTGCTTCTCTTGCAATGCGCTCACTCGCAACTGGCCGCCATCTTGAATCATAAACTTGAAAAAATAAGACTGCAGTTTTTCGAGTTTGCTATGCGCAGAAGAGATGCGCAGACAGTGACTGCCAACTCTAATGCACTCTCATCCTCGTTTGATCCAGGCTTTAGATCTGTACACATATCTATAACTTCTATACCACTGCAGTTCAGGCAAATCTTGCAAAAACTTTACATTACAGACCCCTTTGTAAAGTTAGAAAATGCTTTATCATTAATGGGACACTCTACATGGTTGTAATACCAGACCCACGAGTGGACTTAGTAATATCTTCAATTAACGACACTTCAAATATTTTCAACACCGCACGCAATGTGTGGATATATTTATCCGGATTCCGGGCATCTCACCAATCTCGTACCCAGAGCAATGCCTGTGTGCGGGCTAGGATGGCATTGGCTCTAGGGAAATTGACAACCGGAACCCCCTAAATTTAGGGGTTCCGGTTCTTTGTCGGCATGCACGATTGATAAACGTTAAACCAATCACAGCACAGGAAAAATTCAATTTCCCCAGACCCAATGCCATCCTAGCCCGCGCACAGGCATTGCTCTGGGTCGGAGATTGGCATCTCACTCGATACAACTAAGGGGCGGACCATTAGAAAAGTGATGGGGGGGGGGAGCAAAAATAAAAATCGAGCAGGGAAAACAGAAAGAAAAAAATTCGAAAAAAGTTTGAAAAAAAAAATTCGTGCAGAGACTTTTCAATAGGGAAAATTATAAGTTAAAATAAAAAAAATTCGTGCGAGGAATTATATTTAAAAAAATTATCGACACAAGCAAAAACTTTTAAAAAAATATTCGTACAAGTTGAAAAAGCCCCCCCCCCCATCACTTTTCTAATGGTCCGCCCTCCATTATTGTATTTTTCCCAGCTGTTCCTGGTTAGGTCTAAAAAATGCATAAAATTTAAACTTGAGAAACTCTTCAACGGAGCTTTCAAAAGAAAAGTTAGACTTTGTCACAGCTGTGTGCTGAATTTCAAGGGATACAGCTTAGATATTGTGATTCTATTGAAGACGTGACTCTTGCTGCTATAAAACCTGGAGAATAACCTCAAAGCACAGCAGAGAACCAACCAGAACTCCTCTTCCCCTAGCTTTAAAAGCGCACATCGCTTTGGTGTAGGGTATAGTCAGATACCTTAAGTAATATCCCACCCATAACCGACAGTACCAAACTCAAATCAAAGACAGAGAGGATCAGACCAGTATGTCAACCGTATTTGCTAACTATACTTTCATAAGAAAAGTAAAGTATTATAAAAGATTTTGCAACGGAAGGACAGGTCACAGGTGACTTATATCTATAATTGACCATCAGGCCATGTTTGATGTTTCTCGATACCATGTAAATGTGCCTATTTCTATAGCCCCAGCGACTTAACGCTATATAGAGCGTTGTTTTTCAAAGATGTGATATATCGTTTATGTGTTTCAGAGTGCAATGAGCTGAAAAGTTTTGTGCGTGATGGCAGTTTTATCACTGTATGCATGGCGCACGCACAATGTGGGTGGGACAATGCAAGAGGTCAAAAGTGTATCTGCATGCCTTTCAATGTTGAAGGATTTTGGCCATGAAAATTTCGTGTGTAAATTTTATAAATCTATTAAGACCTAACCGGGAGCAGCTGCGAAAAATGCAACTATAGCCCCCCCCCCTGGCAGGAATCGAACCTGCGGCCTGTGATTCCGGTGCAGCGCTCTAACCAACTGAACTACAGAGACCAGTTGTCGAGCTCTAACCACAAGTTCATGAATATAAACTAAGGCGATGTCATGGTAAGGTATATGGGTAACGTTCAGGATATTTTGGGCACCTCACTCGATCTGACCTATGTTGGATTCCGCAGTATGCAGTTGCTTATCAATTTATTTTCTCGTCAGTTGTACTGGTGAAGATTTCTTTCATTTTGACTTGCTTTTGTACTACTCAGGATAATTCTGCAGTAACAAATAAGGGATCAGCTAGAGGTGTCGTGGAAAATCCCATGTCAATTTAGGCGGACTGAGCACCCTGTATTTTTTGCAGATTGCATAATTATAACTTGGAATGTTTTAGGCAACTGCATGAGTGTTGAAATTTCAGTATTCTCAACGGTAATGATTTTAGTAATCTCTACTTGAATCATGATCACTTTAATTTGATCCTATCTTTGGATAATTTTTGTGACTCAAACATGAAATAGGTTCGCCAAGTTGAAATCTTTAATTTCAAGTTAAATCCTTTTTCATTGAAAAAACCCACTAATTGAAGAATTGCAATCTTGGACATAACTGATTGAGACGACCTTTCCCTTTACACAAAATTCGCGTACCCTATTATATAAATTCTATGTTGAATCGTGTTGCACTTCTTAAGCCCCCACTCCCCCAACAAAATGTTGAACTTGTGTCATTGTAAATGACCAAAAGTTGTTTCGGCGTTGTTTACAACATTGAGCATGTGGACAGGGGGTGACAAAGTTTGTTTTGTCAATGTGCATCAACTTTGCGACATTGGCTGGAATATGTCCAAGATTGCACGAATTAAAAAATAAATACTGGAATTTTCCATGTTTATCATGCTGTCACACCCTCGCCTTGTCACTCCGTCCACTTAGACAGCTCCCCTTGTTGGTTCCGCTCAGACTGTTGTCAATTCAGAACAGAAATAGCTAAATATTTCGCGAGTCGTCGTGGGCGAGACATATTTTTGATAACATTGAGTTGATAATGACTTTCCCACCTTCATTGTATGCGTATAACTCAACAATCATAGCCGGACGTAAAAGTCAGCTAAACTAAAAAAGTTAATCATCCTTTTCTGTGAAGCCAGATATCCGCTTTATTTCAAAATACTGGCAAATATATCCAGCACTGTGGTCCCTTATACGAATTTGGAATAGCCTGCGAGCAGGCCCTCCTAGCCCTAGAGTTCAGGCTAAACCTAGAGAGTCTTGTCACTCGTAAAGAGTTCTAATCCATGTTTAATTACAATATAATGTGGACTGGTATATTCATTCTATTTTTGGCTTGGATTTCTTTGGGTTTTACTAGCCTCAGCTTTATCTATTTTATACATGAATTTAATGCCCATTGTGCAGATTAAATAATCGAGATTAGAAACAATTAATGCCACTTCAGTCTTCACTAGCAAGTTCTAAAACAATAAAACTTCAATTTAGGGTCTTACCTTCGCCAAAAATAGCAAACGAAGCACGACAGCACTTCAGACAATGCAACCACTGCAATTTTATCTACAAAAACAGTACAAAATGTTTTAAAACGATTTAACGAATATTTTGCATTGTTTCAAAAAACTGAAAACTGCATTAAGACTGGGTTAAAGGTCATCTTATATAGCTACATACATGTATAGGAATTTTTTAAAACATTTAGGACATCATATACATCTAAATATTTCGAAATGTTAAATTTTGAGATAGTGGGGACATTTAAAACTCTATATAGATTAACAAGATAAAAGTTTGAGAAGTGTACCAACTATGTTTTAACTCAAATAGAATACGCGATGGTGAAAGCAAAGCAAATCCTCGTTTCAGCCTGGTTATAGGCATGAACTTCGAAGCAAGAATATATATAAGCTTGTTTACACTATCAAAGTTTCTGTGATCACAGTAGGAATTTTGGATGGGTAAATTCTAAGTTTTGAAGGATTTGTAAGAAATGTTTGAGGGAACTGACCCGAGTCAAGGGAACTGACCCGAGTCAAGGGAACTGACCATGTTTGAGGGAACTGACTCGAGTCAAGGGAACTGACCCGAGTCAAGGGAACTGACCCGAGTCAAGGGAACTGACCATGTTTGAGGGAACTGACTCGAGTCAAGGGAACTGACCATGTTTGAGGGAACTGACTCGAGTCAAGGGAACTGACCATGTTTGAGGGAACTGACCATGTTTGAGGGAACTGACTCGAGTCAAGGGAACTGACCATGTTTGAGGGAACTGACTCGAGTCAAGGGAACTGACCATGTTTGAGGGAACTGACCCGAGTCAAGGGAACTGACCATGTTTGAGGGAACTGACCCGAGTCAAGGGAACTGACCATGTTTGAGGGAACTGACTCGAGTCGAGGGAACTGACCCGAGTCAAGGGAACTGACCATGTTTGAGGGAACTGACTCGAGTCAAGGGAACTGACCATGTTTGAGGGAACTGACCCGAGTCAAGGGAACTGACCATGTTTGAGGGAACTGACTCGAGTCAAGGGAACTGACCATGTTTGAGGGAACTGACCCGAGTCAAGGGAACTGACCATGTTTGAGGGAACTGACTCGAGTCAAGGGAACTGACCATGTTTGAGGGAACTGACCCGAGTCAAGGCAACTGACCATGTTTGAGGGAACTGACCATGTTTGAGGGAACTGACTCGAGTCAAGGGAACTGACCATGTTTGAGGGAACTGACCATGTTTGAGGGAACTGACTCGAGTCAAGGGAACTGACCATGTTTGAGGGAACTGACCATGTTTGAGGAAACTGACCCGAGTCAAGGGAACTGACCATGTTTGAGGGAACTGACCCGAGTCAAGGGAACTGACTCGTGTCGAGGGAACTGACTCGAGTCAAGGGAACTGATCATGTTTGAGGGAACTGACCCGAGTCAAGGGAACTGACCATGTTTGAGGGAACTTACTCGAGTCAAGGGAACTGACCATGTTTGAGGGAACTGACCCGAGTCAAGGGAACTGACCATGTTTGAGGGAACTGACCCGAGTCAAGGCAACTGACCATGTTTGAGGGAACTTACTCGAGTCGAGGGAACTGACCCGAGTCAAGGGAACTGACCATGTTTGAGGGAACTGACCCGAGTCAAGGGAACTGACCATGTTTGCGGGAACTGACTCGAGTCAAGGGAACTGATCATGTTTGAGGGAACTGACTCGAGTCAAGGGAACTGACCATGTTTGAGGGAACTGACCCGAGTCAAGGCAACTGACCATGTTTGAGGGAACTTACTCGAGTCGAGGGAACTGACTCGAGTCAAGGGAAC